TTATTTTTAGGGTGGTTAGGGCTGAGCCCCTTGCTGTGAGTCTGCCACAGGGGGTTTTAAGTGTCTCTTGGGGCTCTCTACTCTTGCTTCTTAGTGAGTAGGCATGGAGAGCTTGGGGGTGGTTGTCCATACAAATAATGAGCATTCATATAATAATGAGTGATAGTGATAGCAGGACTTAAAGTGGAGAGGGGAAGGAGAGAGGGGGAAGAAAGAAAGAAACTAAGTGCCAATAATGTTTCACATTGAGTGAAACTTCTAGAGTGAAAGGAAAACTTCTTGGAAGATAAGGACTGCTGGTGTTGGTACTTGAGGATGGAGGACAGTAGTTTGTAAGTGATCCTGATCCCCAATCTGAGGTGTAGGGGTCAGAGGCCTGCGGGGGAGGCGGCATTTTCAGGAAAGTCATGTTTCCACAAGGAGGTGAAGAGAAGGTTCAGTGCCGTTTTCCCTAGAGCTAGCACTCCAGAGGGCAGTGGAGTGGAAGAGTTGTAGGAAGGGGAGTAGTAGGTGGCTGGAGCAAAGGAGAATAACAACTGAGTAGGGGACAAGACAGACAAATGGATGGTCCCAGAGGGTTGTATATTTTGTGGGTGGCGAGGAGGGTGGAAGTACGTTTTACTTCTCATAACCATTGGTTTTCCTCCTACCTCTTCCTAATGCTTTCTCGTTTCGCACTGGCGGCGTTTTGGGACTCATACTGTTACTTCCACTGCACTATTCCTCTACCTCATTGAACCTATCACCCAGTCCTTTTTCACCTCCCCCAGCTGCATTTCTCTCCCTATCTAGCATATGTTAAGCCCAACTCTCCTTTACCGATATCCTCAGCTCCCTCTTATAGTTGGCTTTCCTGTTGTACCCAGCTGGCCAAGTCTGATCTCTGGATGCACACTCACAGCCTTTATCCACACTGGAGATGATTTTTCATGTAGTTGGAAAGTTGTGGGTCATATTAACTTCCTAATCTGCAGTCTCATCCTGGCTCTCAGTGCTGCCCAGCACCTTCCCCCTTTTCTTAGGCAGCATTCTTTCTTCACAGTGGCTACTTCACTTTTCTAAACCGACTCTGCTGCCCTACCCACACCTGTGCTCTGCAGATGGCCTTTCTGCATTCTTTTTTTTCCTTTTTTTTGCGGTACGTGGGCCTCTCACTGTTGTGGCCTCTCCCATTGCGGAGCACAGGCTCCGGATGCGCAGGCTCAGCGGCCATGGCTCACGTGCCTAGCCACTCCGTGGCACGTGGGATCTTCCCGGACCGGAGCACGAACCCGTGTCCCCTGCATCGGCAGGCGGACTCCCAACCACTGCACCACTAGGGAAGCCCCTTTCTGCATTCTTTACAGATCAAGATTACCTCAGCTTTCTGCCATCAAAGCTATTCTCTGCCTTTTTTTCTAAATATGGCCAGTAGAAATACTACATGCACATACGCATCCCCCTCCCTCAAACCCATATTCCTCTCAGTACCGTCTATTGCCCTTTCCTCCATAGCCAGACTTCTTAAAATGTGTCTGCTCTTCCTTCCCTTCCATTCTTCTTCGGCTTGCTTTGCTACATTAGCTTCAGCTCCATTATTCCTCTGAGGTTCCCCTGGCCAAGGTCACGTATGGTTATCTTATCACCAATTCTGGTGGCCTCTACGTAGTTCCTCCTCTTACTGGGCCTCTGTATTGGGCATTGTTAAGCACTTCTTCCTAGAAATGCTCTTTTTATGGTGCCCTGGCTTCATATCTTCAGGTTTTCTTTCTCTGTCTCTTGCTGAACCTTGGTGAGCTCCTCTTCCTGTGCCCATCCCTTAATTATTGGTGTTTATCAAGGTTCTCATCTAAGCCCCCTTCACTCCTCTGGATGACCTTTATCTCCCCACCTGTTGGGAGGACTTATCAAATCTGTTATTTCCTCTTTAGACCTCTGACCTGAGCTTTAGAACAGTAGTACCTTCATCTGCCTATTGGACATCTCAAAAGCACATTATCATCCTAAGCAACCACCCTCACATGTTCATTGGTGCACTGAATGGCACTGTATCCAGTTACCTAAATCAGAAACCTAGGCATCGTTTTTACTTTGCCTGATTCCCAGCATTACTCACCCTTTGTACTTAGAGAAACACAATATTTCTCCTTTTGTTTTTTTCCTAGTTCAGCCATAGTCGTTTCTCACCCAGGAAACTATAGCAGTCTAAGTGGTTTCCTTGCCTCTAGTATTTCTTGCCCTGCTACTGGTTCCATTTCCATACTCCAAAAGGAAAAACTTCAAAATACAAAATCAGATCATGTCATTCCTCTGCTGAAATCCTTCATTGGCTTCCTACTTCTAAAGGTCAAGTCCAGACTCCTTACCTGTGATCTGACCTCTGCTGACTTTGCCAGCTCATTTCTCATTACTTTTTTTTTTACTACCATTATCCCAAATCTCACCAAACTTTTATACCCTCAAGGGTACACAGTGTTCCTTATGGTACTTCCCTTCACCTGTGCCTACTCTTCCCCGAGAGCTCAGTGTCCTTGATTATCCTCAAGTCCAGGAAACATTCCTTTTCTCTGTGCATCCAGGGCATTATTATTTACCTCCCTATCAGACTAGTTTTCAAGCCATAATGCAATGGACTGCTTTTTATTATCCCTGACTATATTGCAAGCTCGTTGAGGGTGGAAACTGCCTCCCTTGTTTATTCCCTGTAGTATTCCTGGCACTGAGCACAGTGCACAGCATATCATAAACAAATATTTATTTTAGAAACAAATAGATAAAGTAGACTGTTATAGCTGCGCAAAGCAAGGCTGCTCAAACTACTGAATATGGGCAAGTTGAAGGTTTGGGAAAAAGGGAGACTATCAATTTGTATTCCTCCGTAGCAGTGCTGTAGGAACCGTGTTCGTGACGACAGTCTTAACTACAACATTGAAGTAGAAATTGGATAAAAGACTTGGCCGCAAGCAAAGTATTGGGGTCAGAGCAAGAATCTAGGTATACCAAATCCAGACTTAACCAATTCCATTTAAGTAACCACCCTAGCTTTAACAAAACTGGGTTTTGTCTGGTGGATGCCACCTTTTGTATGCTTGTAGGGTTCAGTACCACTGCCCACACCACGTAGAATCCTATCTAGATTATTTTTTAATACAGAAGGTTAACAAGCCTATGCGGACTGTAATACAATCTCAATCACCAGTTGTATCTAGAAGCCTTTTTAATCTTCTATTTTCTCATATGTGCATCATTTTCAATTGAAGAAAAAGAGTAAAAATAATATTAGAGAACTGTAAAAAGAGGCCCACAATCATATTCAAATTTGATTACTTTTCATAGCTTTTAACTAGCCCATACATATTTTTATCTTGTTACATGTAACTCGTTGTATGCTATACATACATTTTTCCCAAATTTCTACATAGCACTCCAGTGACTATCGTTTGACATCATGATACTTTGCTTATTTAAAGTTTTTGCTGTTAGGCTAAATTCTCAGAGATGGGATTATAGGGTCAGAGAGTGTAAAAATTGTAAGGCTTTTGCTTTGGGATTGTCCATGATTTTCCAAAAGGGTTATACCAGAAGTTGGCAGGAGTATGAAAGTACAGGGTGTCTTAATGACCTTGAGACATTGAAGTGAGTGAGGTGAGAGGGGAAGAGAAAGCTGTGTACATAAAATCTTATTTATATTGGTTTAGCTTTTATGATGTGTCACAAAGGATTTTTTTTAAGTAGGGAGAAATAATTTTGTATCAGATGACAATATATTCATTTAAAAATACCCTTTAAAGAGTAAATGAAAATTTGTACCTGTTGCGACTCTATTTATTCCATGTTAACTCCTAGATATTCTAAAATTCATCCTTTTAAGTCAGAACATTCAAGAGCTGAGTACATAGGTTGAATTTTAACCTTTTTTTTTTTGGCCCCAACCAGGGATTGAACCCACACCCTCAGCAGTGAAAGCTTGGAGTCCTAACCATTGGACTGCCAGGGAACTCCCTTGGGTCTGATTTTGTCAAATCTACATTCCTTAAGAGAAAATTGTTTAAATTGTTTAAAATTGAGATAAGATTGTTAAATGTTTCATAAGGCATCCCAGTATAAATATGATATTAATGATTCTATTATTTACTCCATTTGTGCCGTTGAACTTTCTTGCTTGCTTGCTTGCTTGCTGGCTTTGCTTGCTGCGTTGGGTCTTCGTTGCTGCACGTGGGCTTTTCTCTAGTTGTGGCGAGTGGGGGCAACTCTTCGTTGCAGTGCACGGGCTTCTCATTGCAGTGGCTTCTCTTGTGGAGCACGGGCTCTAGGCACGCGGGCTTCAGTAGTTGTGGCACATGGGCTCAGTAGTTGTGGCTTGCGGGCTCCAGAGCGCAGGCTCAGCAGTTGTGGCGCATGGGCTTAGTTGCTCCGCGGCATGTGGGATCTTCCTGGACCAGGGCTCGAACCCATATCCCCTGCATTGGCAGGCGGATTCCTAACCACTGCGCCACCAGGGAAGTCCCCTTTTGAGCTTTTCTGGTTTAGAATTTTGTTCTATTAAAATGATAAGCAGTAGAGAACCCCATTGACCTCTAAGTGGTGACAAACCTGTCATATGCAGGTCATTTAAAAGCAGACTAGATTTGAATGCAAAAAGCATTATTGAATGAAGTAGAGTATAATTACAGTTTATATATATCTATAGTCAGATATACATATTTGTCAGAGTACTCCAAAGTTTTTTCTCCTAAGGGATGCGAGTAGAAAGTGAGAGACTTGAAGTTCTTACTTTTATATACGTCCATATTGTTTCAGTATTCATTTAACAATGTGCATGTATTCTGTTTAATAATTTTGTTTTTTAACAGAACACTGCCCAGTTTCCTTGACATGGGTAACAATTTCGCTGAGGCAAGCTTTCATCAGGGGATTCTGTTTCAGTGATTAAACTGGGAGGAGAAATCTGTCAGTGAGTTGTTTCTGCTGCTTATAAGGAGTCAAAATGTAGTGCTTATTTTTTTCCCTTTCTCTCTCAGGTCATTTGGATCCAGGATTCCTAGCAAGTGACAAAACATCTGCTGGCAATGCACCACTCAATGAAGAAATTAATATTGCTTCTTCAGATAGTGAAGTGGAGATTGTGGGAGTTCAGGAACATGCAAGGTAGGATATTAATTGGAGAGAAGAAAATGGTATGGCATGGCTGGCATGAATGGTGGGGCTGTTTCTCAAATTCCTGTGGTTTAAGAAATACATTTTGATTATAGACACGTATGAGCTTCAGAATGTGTTGCATATTGTCTTATATCAAGAACATCTCGGTCACACATGTATGTGAAACAGAACTAATGTTTGTCTCTTATTTTTAACATGTCTAGGTGGCTTGACTGAGTTTTCTGGTATGGCATAAGTATCACCGTACTCCCCCACACCTCCAATCCATATTTTCTTGCCTTTCACTTTATCTTGAAATATATTGGAAGCAAATAATTGAGAAATCTGCATTTGACATCATACCTCTTCCTAGAGCACCTCTTTTTTTTTTTTTAACATCTTTATTGGAGTATAATTGCTTTACGTTATTGTGTTAGTTTCTGCTGTATAACAAAGTGAATCAGCTATATGTATACATATATCCCCATATCCCCTTCCTCTTGCGTCTCCCTCCCACCCTCCCTATCCCACCCATCTAGGTGGTCACAAAGCACGAGCTGATCTCCCTGTGCTATGCGGCTGCTTCCCACTAGCTATCTGTTTTACATTTGGTAGTGTATATATGTCCATGCCACTCTCACTTCTTCCCAGCTTACCCTTCCCCCTCCCTGTGTCCTCAGGTCCATTCTCTACGTCTGTGTGTTTATTCTTGTTCTGCCCCTAGGTTCTACAGAACTATGTCCATGCCACTCTCACTTCTTCCCAGCTTACCCTTCCCCCTCCCTGTGTCCTCAGGTCCATTCTCTACGTCTGTGTGTTTATTCTTGTTCTGCCCCTAGGTTCTACAGAACTATTTTCTTTTTTAGATTCCATATATATGTGTTAGCATACGGTATTTGTTTTTCTCTTCTGACTTACCTTCACTCTGTATGACAGATTCTAGGTCCATCCACCTCACTACAAATAACTCAGTTTCGTTTCTTTTTATGGCTGAGTAATATTCCATTGTATATATGTGTCACATCCTCTTTATCCATTCATCTGTCGATGGACACTTACGTTGCTTCCATGTCCTGGTAGAGCACCTCTACTTATCTTTCATGAAAGGTTGCAGGTTACTTTGGTCAGTTCCTTATAGTGTATTTCTAGTGATGTTTGTGTGATTTAGGGAATCTTGTTTCTTAGGAATTAAAAAAAAGCCACAAGACATCAAATTAGTGTATAGTATTATGGAAATAATTATATAAGGTTTGTCATTCTTTAAGGTAGTGGTGAGCAGACTACAGCCCATGGGCCAGATCTGGCCTGCTGCCTGTTTTTATATGGACCTCAAGCTAAGAATGGTTTTTACATTTTTAAATGGTTGGGGGAAAAAAATCGAAAGGAGACATGTTTTGTGACATGACAATTGTATGAAATTCAAATAGAATTTATTTATCCATAAATAAAGTTTTGTTGGAATAGAGCCATGTTTGTTCACTTACATATTGTCTATGGCTGTTTTGCACTCCAGTGGCAGAATTGAGACGTTTCATCAGACACCCTAGGGCCTGCCGAGCCAAAGATATTTACTGTCTAGCTCTTTGCAGAAAAAATTTACTGACTCTTGCTTTAAGATACAGTCCTAAGAATTAGTTGCAGCCCTCTCAGAGGTATACCTGAGGAACATTTAACACACACACATACATACACAACAAAATCTAGTCTTTGGAAAAATCTGTATTCTATGTAGAATTTTTCTCCTATGCCACAAGAGTTAAGTTGTGATTTTGTGATTTCCTCAAGTAGGTATATAACATAGTATCTTACCTTATTTTTAGATCTGATTTTAATCTTTGGTTAGAAAGGTAATAAAACATTCATCAGCATTCTTCTGTTACTTATTTAAAAGGTGAATTTAGGAGTGGAGAGTGGGGGCAAAATACACATTCACATAAATTGAGGATCCTTCTTCTAATGAGAACTGATTATACTTTCTGAAAGCATTTTTTAGTTAAACAATCGGGACTTTAAGTACGTAGATTTAAGTCATAATTTAACATGCCATCTCCCCAGAAGTGGCTAATTCTCTGTCAGAACTAGTATTGTCCCAGCACTTCATCCTCTATCCTATATTTATGCTGTAAGTATGCTTGTGTAGCTGCTTCCTTTTTTCTTTCTAAATGGTTATTTCCCCTATTCTGGTGGGAAAGAATTTTTATTCTTTAATCTTTCCTTTACCTCATTCTTTTTTCTCCTTTTTTCTGCCTTAGTCAAAAACCTTTTCCTATGAAGTTCTCTTTCATTTCCCCATCTATTTCCTTCAAGCTGACTTATCCATGAGATGAAGAAGATAGAACTCTTGTTTTCTTCCTTTACTTCAGTATATGTTTGTCATTATTTTATTTCAGCATTATATAAGTATAGAAGACATTATTATATTTTTAAGCCCCATGCCAAGATCTTTGTAGAATATTACAGTATTTTTCATTTCAGACTGTGTACTATAAAACTTATTCTGCATATTGACTGATAGACTGATGTAGGTAAATTATCGTCAGTTGTGCCAGGAGCACATTATCCAGTTACCAACTTCCTCTTGACTTACTTTTCAAATTTTAATTCAGTGTTACTCATGTGTTCCTACTTAAGTAGGAAAGAATAGGTTATAACCTGTGCTGTCTTGTCTAATCTCTTACTCTGTTCTGAGACATATCAGTGTTATGGTCCAGTTCTCTATTAACTCCTACCGACTCTCCCTTCTTTATTGTCTCCTTGTGCCTAGAAATGTTACAGAGTGAGCTACCCTTCTTTTCAGATTCTTTGTTAAACTTTCCTTCCATAATGATATCTTGAGCTTCTTTTTCTACAAATATTTTTGTTATCTGGAGTTGAAATTACTATATTTCTATTAAAACTTGGAAATTTAAATCCCAAGTTTCTCTCACCTCCAGCACACACACATGCACACAGATTATCTCTAGTACGCCCTTCTCTGAACTTGTTAAAGTCTTTTATCCAGATTGTCATTTTACCCTATAAACATCTTTGTTTCACTCTTAACTAAGTCAAGTAACTTTGGGTACATTTTAAAAAACATGCTATAACATTACTTTCAAGGACTTTTTCATACAGGTTCTGAAGCATAAAGATGTGTTTTTTTGGTTTTTTAAATTCTGATCCTTTAATTTGAATCCTGGAGAAATCATATCTTGGAGGTGACAGATCTATCTTGAAATCTCAGTGGTGGTTAATAACTGTGCATAAAATGGAATGTAGAGTTGACAGATTCTGTTGGAGTACTTTGAATGGACTCTTGTATCATTTTGAGGGGATCTTTTATTTTGGGCCTTGGGTCTAGGACTGAGTAGGATCTCACTGACTCTGCTGTGTCTTTCTGAAAAATTTTTCAGCAGTTTCTTTAGAAGAAGCATGATAATCTTTCAAGCATTGAGATTAAAAAGCTGAGAAGTGGGACTTCCCTGGTGGCGCAGTGGTTCGGAATCCGCCTGCCAATGCAGAGGACACGGGTTCGAGCCCTGGTCTGGGAAGATCCCACGTGCTGCGGAGCAACTAAGCCCGTGTGCCACAACTACTGAGCCTGTGTGCCACAGCTACTGAGGCCTGCGTGCCTAGAGCCCATGCTCCGCGACAAGAGAGGCCACTGCAATTAGAAGTGCACCGCAACAAAGAGTAGCCCCTGCTCACCGCAGCTAGAGGGCCCGCGCGCAGCAACAAAGACCCAAAGAATAAATAAATAAATTAAAAAAAAAAAAAAAAGCTGAGAAGCAGGTGGGGGGGAGAGCCTTTCTTGTTGGTTGCTTCAGAATTGCCCCTTTAGCTGCCTGTATCTCATCTGGAATTTATTTCCTTTACAGGTCTAGGGTTGCAGTTATGAAGTATTGATGGGCTTCTGGCAGGGTTATCGCTTGGAAGAAGGTTTTAGGTTTTGATCCACATCTTTTTGTTCTAATTCGATTTGCATGCATAGATGTTTTGTTTGGATTTAGTTGTCCTGTTCTTATTTTTCCTTTTGGTATTCTACCTTATAGGCTTTCTGAGAGCTTTAAAAAACTCAGACTTGGTTCTTGAGTTGTTCTCTTTGGGACTGTGGTTGCTCTGACTTGGGTTTGGGTGCCATTTTTCCATATTGGAAGCATTCCGGTTTGTTGACCTTTATATCAGTAATTCTAGTTGTGATGTGCCTCTTTTTTCTTTTTTTTTTCTTTTTTTTTGTTAAACAGTTGTTTTTCTTTTCTTGCATGCTAACATCTTTCCCTGCTCTTTTCTTTTTAGATTTTGATATGTTCACTTAGCTTCTGTGTTTCTTCTAGTCATAGACTAGAAGGCATGCCTGCCTAACTAATGGTCGAATGCATCTTTTATGGCTGCCTGGGATTGCTGTGATGAACTCCTGTCATTACCTAGATGTCATTTCTAGGTGTTAATTTTTGGACAGTCCAGTTTCACAAGATGCTCTTTGCCAGTGAGTTGGAGACTTTTCCATCATCTCTAGTTCTTCTGTGCCCGCTTAATTTTGCCATAAGTTTTAACTTATGACCCTGTTGCTAATATTTTTCTTTATCCTTGTTCCATTTTCCTTCTTTTCTTCTGCAAGCTTCATTGGTAATTGCCCTAGGAAGATGAATGCATGTATCTTTATGTTATGGAACTGTGCTGAAACAGTTCTTTCAGTACTTGTTCTCTGAAGCTTTTATGAATAATCAGACCCTTACCTCCTTTCACATGGTCCTGTGGTCCATTGGTTAATGTTGGTTCACTCCTCTGCAGAAGAATTGCTGTGGGGAGGCTTTAGCATTTAAGACTGATTGCTGCTTAGAACCAATTGCTAACATTAACCCTAAAAAAAGCAAGGGAGGCAGATTAGCATTTCCCTGAAGCTACAAGGATTCACTCTACCTTCAGTTAGGAAAAATAAGTAGGAATGTTATCTAAGAGGTCACCTTCAGAATCTGTAAATGAGAGCAAAAATGATTAATTTTTAATGTTGTTTTCTTAGAATAGTAGGTTAACTGTATCAACAGCTGATCATCAGAACCTGCCCTCTTTTTGTGTTTTTCTTCCTTTCTACTCTGAAGTCTCCTTTTTTTGGTTTTAATATATGAAGAGCAGGAAATTATTCTATCAAAACTTATTGTTTATAAATAGTGGATGGGGGGGCGGTCTATGGAAGTGAGGCCTAAGCAGTTTTTCTTGGTTATAATACTCAAAATGTGACTCTAGTTGTGCAGACCTATTGCCAGTCATATGCAGATTAAATGCTTTGTGAGAAAAAAGCTTGTGTCTGCACTAGAATCTGATTGGACCAATTATAAAACAGCTGAGTATGTTCCCACCCCATATCTTTCATAATAGAAAAAGGATATGTGATAATACATGAAACTGTGCTTTGTTAGTTGCCTTAACAAAATTTTGAGCCTCTCACATCCTTCTTTAGAGGGCATCTCTGTAGTGCTTATAACAATTGTTGTAGTCCCATTTCCTCCTGAAATTTTTTCCCCCTCTGCATCTGGTATAAGTTATTCTGTAATGTACCGTCTTATAAAATAGGGCTCAACCTTTTTCCCCCTGTACTTAAAAGAAATGTGTTAAAAGCCTTGTTCTGTCCTCATCCATCTCCTAGCTACCATTTTATTCAAGGTGGCTGAGGTCATTAAATCATAAAAAAAATTTTGAATGTTTTATTGGCTTATAACACACACAGAAAAGTAATAAGTGTACCCTTTAGCTTTTGTACCCATACCCAAGTAACCAGCTCTCAGATTAAGAAACAGAAGTCCCTCTTGGCTCCACCTTGCCCTCTGTATGTAACCACTATCCTGACTTCTAACAGGATAGCTTTGCCTGTATTCAGAATCTTATTAACATTCCTGACAGATGCCCCAGCAACTGCTTGAATGTTTAAAAGGCAGATTTTCTATTTTGTAGTGGCTGTAATTGTTGTATAGTAGTGATCATCCAAAAGTTGCCTTCTAGAAACTGATTCATGGTTGTTATTCTGCTCTCAAGATCTCTGTACTGTTGAAGGAGCTGCCTTCCATGGTGATTGTCACTTCTTTGGCAGTTGCCCTTCCATTTGCAGTTAATAGGAGACAGGAAAGCTTTTGACCAAAGATAGGATCATCACATTCTCCAGAGAATCTAAAAGTTTGAAGAGAAACAGACTAAGGATTGGGGCTTGAGTCAAATGAGTGAGGCCAAGTTGTTCCAGCATTGTTAGGTTCTTTGAGGTACTCAAGTAAAGGTGCTTTTCCAGTAAAGTTTCTTTTTTGCTTAAAGTAGCCCAATTTGGTTTCCAGTAACTGGAACTATTTATAACCTCTTTCAACCATTCCTCATTAGTAAATACCATCTCTAAACCTCTTACTCTCCTACTCTGGACACTTTCTAGAATCTGCTTTGCTCTTTATTGTATTACCCACAGGGGCTAGGCAGTTCCCCTTACAATCAAACATAGTGTATAGTAAGTACTTCGGGAGGAGTCTGAGAAAGACATAGGTGGAAATAAAGTCCCCAGTGGACACCTGATTCTGTTCTGGTTCCATGCTTCACTTTCTTAAGACCCTGGGCAGTTGTCTTTTGGTTTTGGTTTTCTCTTCTGTAAAATGGGAAGATTGGATTAGATCCCTTTTAAAGGGATGTTACATTGTATGATTACTTAAGGAGCAGTGCAGAGTAACAATTGGGACTAAATACTGCTTTTATTTCAGAGTTATTTCTAGGAATTCTGTCAATGATTACATTGACTTTTTTTGGTAGTCATTCATTCCCTGATTTTTCTAAGTTTCTAACCAACTTTACTTCATTTACTACTTGATAGATGAGCTTTTGAACTGTTGAAGAGCTTTATATTTTTAAATTGTTGGTCTGGGCCTGTCTTTGCACTCTGCTGACTCTTGCCGTGTTTTGCCTTACTGAATTTAATACACACATTTGTAAAGCAACAACATGATGTGGAAAGCATTGGACCAGAAATCAGACTTGGCCTGAAGTTCCTTTGCCTATACTTTCAAACAGTATGACCCTGGGCAAGTCATGTAACCTCTTTAACCCTCAGTTTCCCTGTCAGAGTATGGATAAGAACTTCCACATCTACCTCATAGGTCTGTTGGGCGTGTCAGATGAGGAGAAACTGCTTAATAATCTTAGTATTCTGTTGTCATCAGTCATCAAAACCATTCCTTTAAAATGTTGGATGGGGCTTCTCTGGTGGCGCAGTGGTTGAGAGTCCGCGTGCCGATGCAGGGGACATGGGTTTGTGCCCCGGTCCAGGAAGATCCCACATGCCGCGGAGCGGCTAGGCCTGTGAGCCATGGCCGCTGAGCCTGCGCTTCCAGAGCCTGTGCTCTGCAAAAGGAGAGGCCACAGCAGTGAGAGGCCCGCGTACCGCAAAAAAAAAAAAAAAGAAAGAAAAATGTTGGATGGACTCCTTTGGCTGACGTTTTTCCGTGACTACTCGGTCATTTAATCTGAGTGTATTTAAGGGGTGGACAGATTTGGATTAGACTTTGGACTTGTTTTTCTTTTCTTTTTTAAAGGTTTAATTTTATTTATTTTTGGCTGCGTTGGGTCTTCTTTGCTGCGCTCGGGCTTTCTCTAGTTGAGGTGAGCGGGGGCTACTCTTCGTTGTGGTGCACAGGCTTCTCATTGCAGTGGCTTCTCTTGTTGCGGAGCATGGGCTCTAGGCACGTGTGGGCTTCAGTAGTTGCAGCACACGGGCTCAGTAATTGTGGCACTCAGGCTCTAGAGTGCAGGCTTAGTAGTTGTGGCACACTGGCTTAGTTGCTCCGTGGCATGTGGGATCTTCCTGGACCGGGGATCAAACCCATGTCCCTTGCATTGGCAGGCGGATTCTTATCCACTGCACCACCAGGGAAGTCCCTGTGTGTCTTATTTTAATGCTTTTTACTAGCTAATCTTTGAAAATATGGTCGCCTCTGGGTTAGTAGCTACTCTTAGCCCATTTCTGAAAAGATGATGGCCCTCTGGTACTGTAACAAATCTGCAGTCTACCCCTACTCTGGCCTCAAGGGATCTGTTTTTCGGCACCTCTCTTGGTAAGGGAGTCATTTTCAGGCTAGCCTTTGTAGGAGCAGGGCCTCTTTCCATAAGCCTAAGGGTCCTTAAGGGCAGTTCTGCAGCTAAACCTTGTCTGTTGTTACTCTAATGTTTTCTTTTGAACCTAGAGGTTCAGATAGCATGGGGTCAAAGCTGGAGCTCTTAAGTGATTCAGCATCACTCATCGTATACATGTTGTCAGAACAGCTGCTCACGATCCATTGTAGTAGTTTGTGTGATTAGAATCATGCCACTTGTCACTTCTCACATATGCTGCAGGGAGACAGGTCTGTAATTTACATGTGTGGACTTCAGGAGCAGTGATAGCTTGAGCTGCCTGCCTTCCTGTCTTATGAATCAAAACTTACTCAGTGGTTCATCCTGGAGGTTCACAGCTCTATCATTTGACTGGAATGTGGAATTCAATATGTAGGTATTTCTGAAACAGTTCTCTCCCAAGCAATGAACTCATGAGATTTGTCAGCAAGGCAGTTCTGTCCCTCTTATAGGATACTTTTAGAGAATCTAAACTGAGTACTTCAGCCTTGTTATTTTCACTGAACTTGAGCATAAGTGGTTGTGATGAACTAGCCAGGTGTTTGTCTTGTCACCTTCAGGTTGAGGGAAATTGATCTTTAACTCATGACCTAGTACTTAAAGATATTTAGACATCTAATCTGTAAAAGGGGTATTACTACTTCTGTTTTTGTAAGTACTATTAACAAATATGGCACAGAACTTATTTTAAGAACAAGTTTCACTTGTGTTTCTTACTGTTTCATTAGCTCAGACTAAGATTGTCTGGGCATCTTAATTTTGCTCAGGATTTATATAGTGCCCTATCCTGAAGACCCCAGGGGCCTAAGTGAATTCAGAGAAGCATCATCTTATCCATTTTCAGTACAGATCTAGACGTAACTCAGGACTTTGTGGCTGAGACAAAAACCTTGGCATTTTTAAGGCTAAACTGAGAGAGGTGGGGAGACAGACAGACAGACATGGAGGGAAGGAGGAAAAGGGGGAGGGATATTGGTTATGGGTTTGATGAACTTGCATAGTAGGCTTATCTTAGTAAAAGTATTGGTCAGTACAACTGAAGCTATTTTGCCTTCTGTAGGATTAACCATGCTTTTGCTCTTCATTTCAATTGCAGGTGTGTTCATCCTCGAGGAGGTGTGATTCAGAGTGTTTCTTCATGGAAGCATGGCTCTGGCACGCAGTACGTTAGCACCCGGCAAACACAGTCATGGACTGCTGTGACTCCCCAGCAGACTTGGGCGTCACCTGCAGAAGTTGTTGACCTTACATTGGATGAGGATAGCAGACGTAAATACCTACTGTAATGCAATGTCACTGTGTTTCCTCTGCACTGTTCCCTTCCACTTAACTCCTCCTCCTCTTTGTGACATGGAAGTTCATTGTCATAGCTTCAGCTTCAGAAGCTGTTTGTGGCATTTGTATAATTGAAACTCATGGAAAATTGCCCCCTTCCCTTTTTTTTTTTTTTAAATTAAAAGAAGTCACTTAGGAAAGTAACTTATCACAGAGAAAAGAATTTCTTCTTTCCCTCAGTAGGAATCTGAGAATGATGAATTTTATTAGACAACTTCATTTTACTTGGTGACTTTCAGTCTTAGGAAACTGCCTTCCTTTTAGAATGATATTTTAATTACCAGGTGAAATGGATTTCAGCTTTTGAATCTTGTATTTATTTTTCTGTGTAATAAAATTAATATGTAGACTTGACCACTGTCAGCCCACCCATTGGCACTCCTACCTTAGGGCATTTGCACACATATTAGTCAGTTCCTTTTTGGCACCTAGTAGGGCATGTGCATTGAAAACCTGTCCTTAAAAATAGAAGACAGAAGTGTTACTTTTCTTTTAGCTTAAGTCTTCTGCCTTCTTTCCTGACTTTGCTCCTGGCTGAATTCCCACAACACAAATAATTGATATGACCTTTGTGTTTATAAATACTGCTAAGGTGACTTAGTTGATCTCCTTGTTGCAATAATTCATAACTCTGGAAAATATCTCCTTGTGAGGCAGAGGCATTTCAGATAGATACCCCACCATGAGGTTTGGGCATCTGAGGAGAGTATTGAGAGATCCCTTTTCTCCCCCTGGTTTGTTCAAATAATGGGAGAAACATAGAACCTGTTACTTAGGTAGAATATGAAAAGTTGCGTGGCTTCTAAGGCTATGGGCACTTGAAAAATCTGAGAGGGCAGTGCCTTCTTCTGTAGCTGGTCTCTCCGTAAAGGATGTAATGACAACTGTTTGATACTTGAGCTGAAGTTGACCTGTTGCTATATTTGGGTATTTTTCTCCTCTACCTTCTAAAAGTGGAAAATTCAAAATACATCATAAGAAACCAGATGCAAAACACATTAATGGCCCTGTAGGTTTTATAGTATCTAACAGGAATAACAAAGGGTAGTAGGAGCATCAGGGAATTCAGGAAATGCCGGTGTTGGAGTTTTGTGGCATTAGTTATTACCTTTTTTACTATAACATTGTAGTTACTAGTGAATTATTTTACAAGCAATACCTAGAATAGTACACTATGTACTGTGCACAGGGAGGAGTGAAGTAATGCTGGCTTAGAAGACCTCACTTTTTGTTTTTCCACAGTTTTTGTCTGCTTTTCTGTTTGCTTTTGTTTCCATTTTTACCATATAATGGGGCTCTAGCCCTTTGCTTCCCTTCCCAAATGCCTTGGTGGCTCTTCCTTATCATACGAGCATGAGAACTACCATTTTCAGTTTCCACTCAGTGGACACACATTTATACCAAGTGCCTGTTCTGCCTAAGGCGCTGTGGTGGTGCTGTGGGGCTGCTGCGGAGAACAGGACACCCACCGCATGTGCGTGCGTCCGGCTGCCTGGCTCCGGCTGCCTGGCCTTGTCTCCTGTGTGTGTAAAGACTCGTTTATTCCTTTACCCTTCTTCCTGCTGCTTTAGTTCCTCCATACACCTCTTCCATGGGAGTGTATTTAAGCATGTGTTCTTTCACCTTCTCTGATAACATCGCACTTGATCTGGCCTCTGTTCTCCATCAACTTTTTATTTTCCTATCATTCTACTTTTAATAGATCAGGCTTTTAAAGAGATCATGAATCTCCGGTTTTAGCACCTCATGTCTCAAGTCTCTCACGTGGCCACAATTCTAGACAAAAACCAAAGACCCAGAGGCCAGAGCGAAATAGGACCTTCTGCAGATTCACTACAGGTGTATCCTTGGACCTTCACATTTTACTTTAGGATTAATTTATTGAATTTTACTGTTACACATTGTTTTTGACTTGAATTAAAATGCTAGACAGAGCAGAAATGTACAATTTCTGGTCTATATTTTCCAGGAAAATCATTGGGGAAAGAATAGAGTGGATTTTATGACTTGAAGTTTTTGCAGCTTATTTTCCCCCCACTATCAGGGCAGAGCCCCATTTTAAAGAACATTTTTGCATTACCTGTTCCTACGTTAGCAGTATGTTTTGTCCAATTCCTTATAGCAGGGGATTTCCCAGGGCATATTTTCTTTAGTCCCTAACAGTCATCCTCTAACGAGAATTCTTTGGGTGTGCTGTGTGCACTGTGGGTTGGGAGTGGAGAGTGGAGTTGTAACCAAGCTCTTTTCTGGCCTTTTGCTTTTATTATTGGGTTACACTTTGCCCTCACCTGTCCCTTTTCCAGCACCCTATCTGGCTTGATGCACCAGAACAAAAATTAATATGCAAAAAGCAGGGAGGTGAAGGGATGGTAGAGATAGCTTTTCTCCCTACTAGGTTGGGACTTTTCCACCTACTAACTAACTATAGAGAGACTATGTTTCAACTCTTCTTTCATTGCCAGATCCAGGAGAGTAGGGATGTGGTTTCTGGCAAGGTGTTAATGATAAAATTCTGTGGTAACAGTGAGAGAGGCCCACGTACCGCAAAAAAAGAAAAAAAATTCTGTGGTAAATTTAAAATTCTGACATTTAAAATTTCTTTTAAGGGGGTCTTTTTTAACCAAAGTTTTGCATTTGGTAGCATAGACACTTTATGCTTCACCATCTCTTCAAAGTAATATCTCCGCTAAAATGGTACACTTGGGTCGCAGATTGGTTTTTGGCACTAACTTGGTTAAGTGCCCCCCTTCCCCCAATTGGAAACCACAGAGCGGTAACTTAGCTATTGCATCAGTACAGCAATATTGATACGTAGCTATTGCTCGCCAGTAGTTGTCTCTTCATTTTGATGGAAGGGGCCGGACTGAATGGACTCCATTATTTGTAACAATTGAGCATCCCATAAATTCGGCTTTTATTATTATCAATTGTGAATATGAACCATCTGATTTGCTAATTTAGTCAATTGTTCATTGTTACTTTTAGCAGATTAGCACCATAGGCAATTTAAAAATGAATTTGTTGCCTGCTTTTTATATTGTGTCACAAGGTTTTTGAAAAAGCTGGGGACACAGTATTGTCTTTCAGTTTAAAGGTTTTTTTTTAAAGGCAAAGAGCTCCCCTCCATCCCTGTTTTTCAGTATGTGTATGATGCGACTTCCATGTATATATAAAAATGATTGCGCCCTAACCAAACTTCCTCAGATTGTGCACTGTTTGTTTAAAATAATCACGTATTTTAGTCCAATGCTGTTGTATTTTTTCATTTTATTTAAAACACTACGTACTTCTTATTCTTTTAACAAGTTTTAAAGGGTAGTGATCTTAAAAAAAAAATCACTGGATAACTAGGAAATATTTTTGTTGTTTAAAGAGTACGAAGGTCATTGAAGCCTTTTGCTCCTCTTACCGTGAAAATGAAATGTTAGCCATTGTATGGCTAGGAACCAATGCACTTGGTGGTTAACAGATCTGCTGTTGCTGGAGTGTGAGCGTGGACTTGATGCAGTGACGACAAATCATTGCTTAGAATTAATGTTTTAAAATGTGTGACTCTAGTTTTTAAAACAAAATTTGGTTCTTCTTTTCATTATTTAGTTTTTGTTTCCAATTAGTATTTAATGGTCTTTGGAGAAAAAAAAATAATAAAACAGAGTGTTATATATATATTTTTTGGTGCAAGATAAGATTTTCTGTTTTTTGAAATAAGTCTGTAGCATAAAGGTTAAACTATTTTAAGACAAAATAAAATAGAGTGTATTTAAACAAAGATAATTTCTGAGGATTTTTTTTTTCCATCTGCTTCAGTTAATTAGATGGTGCCTGGAGCAGCTCCCAAGTTAGCTTTTGGATGTGAAAGTGAATTATATTTTGTTATCAGATCTTATTGTTAAAGTTGCCTGATTTTTTCCAAGCAACAGCTGTATCCTACTCCTAGAATGTTTTGCAGGTGGCCTTTGGTGTGTTAGATTTAGATAAAAATAGTTTTGCATTAGCTTTCCTGTAGCCCCCACTTCCCTTGGATCCAGTTAGAACCAGTGAGATTTCAAAGCTGGCGAAAGGCTCCCTAGTGCTAGGCCCCTTTGCTCCTGGGAACAAAACTCAGCTGACAGTTACTTCCCAGAGACCAACGTGCCAGGGTAAGATGCTGTGACTGTGTGCACTTTGCTCATGGTTGAAGCAAATACAGGGTGTTTCAAAAATAGCCCAAAGAACTTTCCTCCTAATTTGGTTCTATTTTCAGGGTTTTTATTTGGTTATCAAAATGACAGGAACTACTTACTGCATTAACATCTCATGACTTTTGTAACTTACTTCATGTAAAGGAGAATGAGGAACCAGACAGAGTAAAGCCTGTGTTTATTAAAATACTCACTCCTGGATCTCTTTATGTTCATCAAATTTTTAGTCCTACCTGCACTGGAAAGAGATCTGTTAACAATTAGGAAGTACACTGTTAACAGTTAGGAAGTGTTTTTAGTTTTGGGAAATGGTTCTTTTATACTACTTTGTATCTGAGACATAGACATGTTAGTGCCTATGAGAAACTTCTTTTCTTGGGCTCTAGAAGAAAATTTTTTACTTAGGGTCTTGTTTTTGAACGCTTTTGCCCTTGGACGCTGCTTTTGAAGAATAGACAAAGCATGAGTAAGTAAAATAATCTGTGGCTAGTACTTAATCTCACTCTAGCTTCCTCTTTCTATTCTTCGCTGGCTTTTGGCCTTGCCTTCCCTTGTTTATATGTTTTTCACAGTAGATGACAACTATTTATAACTTTAGTCCAAACAGAAAAATTACATAAATCTTTACAAAACATATAAACATCTCTTCAGCTCCAATTTTGCAATTGAAGTAAGGTGAATTTCTTCTAGGTTTAGGTTTTGTTTTAACCATTTTGCTGATCTATGGAGTGATCCTCCTAGGTCACTGGTAGGTATGATTTTCTTTACTTTCTTGACTCTGTGTTTGAGAGCAGTGATTTACAGAATTAGAGAAGTTCCTGGGCTATATAGTGGAGCTTTGGCTGGGAGAATATGCCTGGAGCAAAAGAAGGCAGTGTCAAGTATTGGAAGGAGCAATGCGCTCAGAAAAAGATGCAGGTGATGGTCATGAACATGATAGTGATGTGGAAAGAGCATCC